GTTTTTTCATGAGGACTTATGCACGACTTAGAAGGACCCTTAGACCACACACTGGATATAAGTCCTGAAGGAGTTGAGCACAGAAGTATCTGGGCAGACAGGGCCAGGCTCAGGGAATGAGCCACCTACCCAGAGACTGGGTTCTCATGGGAGGTGGAGGAGCCAACGGGGAGCAGTCTGCAGGTATCCTGAGCACCACACATCATTTTAGCCACGTACCACTGGTGGGAGACACACCGAGCCTTTGACACCCTGATGCTGCCTCTTCTCGATGGCTCACATGGTCAGCAGAGGAGGGCTGGGATGTTCCTGGCACGTAGTGCTTGGCCACGGGCCACGATGCTTGCTGAGGGAGCATGCTCTCTGCTGGTGCAGGACCCTGTCCCACTCGGCCAACTTCAGCGCTTCACACCCGCTTTGCTCTTCGACCCAAGTGGGCCTGCTCCAGAGAAGCAGGAACGTTTAGAGATTTTCTTTTTCACATGGGACTGTTCTGCTGAAAGTCAGCACAAGGTTGCCTGCAACTGACTCCAGTGATTCCTTAGCCTTTAAAAGTCTTGCAGTTCTGTCAGAATATTCAAAGCGAATTGAACGGAACAGTAGCTGGTCTTCCCACCCCAAAGCATGCTCCTTTGATGGCTTCTGTAGTGTCACAGCCTGTCCTTCAGTGTCCGTTCTAGCAAAACCCTTTCCTCCTATTGGTGGTGAGGAGCCACTACAGTTAACGTCTTTCACAGTTTTGTTATTAGCTGTTTTCTAAAATCTAATCTGCCACATTTCTTTATATACCTCCTTTATATTTTATGCCTTTTACAATTTTTTTCTTGAGCCCCAGAATTTGGCAACATATGACAGATACTTGATGTGCTTCTATAACTTGTATTAAGGGGCATCTATTGCTTACCTAAGCATGTGCTAGTAAATTTGTTATGAACACCTGTGGGTTTTTAGCTACTAGTTTTAAAGAAAAACATGTGAGTTGGTTCTAATTGCTTTAATGGAGATAACATGAATGGCAACAGCCTTTCAAGATTTATTAGCTGTGACACTTACATGTCCCACTATACAGTGGCACTGTGGCCCTTGAGGCATGTGGAAAGGTTGGCAGTGAACGGTGATGCGCAATCAGGGTTGAGACGGCCTACTTGGGATTGTGGGCCAATGCCACTGAAAAAATTTAGAGTCACAGAAGTAAGGCTCTGAAGTTGTGTATTTTTTAAGTTTTCCTCTTCCTAAGTTCATTATGTCAGGCTTTCCTTATAGTAATGGAAAGCTAAGATAGTTGCTAATATTTTTAAAAGTACAGAAAGGACATTACAAATGTCAGCATAGCTTTCTTCTAAGGGGGAAGGAGCAGGTTCTGATGCAAAAGATGGATCCAACCTGGGGCTTTTGACCACGTGGGTGGTGGTTACACAGATGCCCATTTAAACACAAGTTGCTTGGGTTTATATTTGTGTGTTCTGTCACTGTATATGTGAGGTCCTAGTTTTAATGAACCTCTGTCTAGAAAACATTTCTACTTGCTGTAACTTCTTAATGATTAGGTCATTATGTGGATTATCCAAGCTGGTTTCAAAGCAGATCAGTGTTCAATAAGTCACTATATTGGAAGAGTCACTGTATAACTGCTACAGCCCTCTTTCTGAGAAGAGTGGTTAGAGGACAGGGTGGGCTTTTCATCCCATCAAGGAATAAATATTTTGGCCTAGAGGAACATAGGCATCTCTTTGAACAATTTAGTTAGGAAGATTAGAATTTTACTTCATGGTGGTGTTGATATGAGAGGAATCAGAAAAAAGAATGCTACTGTCATTATTAATAAGGTTTTGATACTGGCAGGACTGAGACATAAAGTGCTTATCACTTTAGTGAAAACAAAAGAAGACCCGCAAAAGACTGAGAAGTCCTCAGTAGTGTGCATGGGTCGAACGGTGGGGTGGGCACAGCGAGTGGTGGACAGTAGGGTCGGTCTCGCCAGGCAAATGCTTCCTGCCAGTCTTTCTTGTTCCCAGTGTAAGGTTCCAGTCCATTTTCATTTGCTTTCATAAGATACCTGAGGCTGGATGTTTTATGAAGAAACGAGCTTCATTTAGCTCACAGTTTTGGAGACCAAAAGTCCAAGATCGGGTGGCCTCGTCAATTCTGCCCCTTGGCAGGCATCATGCTAATTGGTCTCACTGAGGTAAGAGTGGGCAGAAATCACATGAGAGGACAGGAAGACAGAGAGAACAAGGGGCCATGCCTGGAGTTTCTGTAACAACAGATCCTCATAAGAACTCACCAGGCAGGGCTGGCCAGATAGCTCAGCAGACTGAAGGCCCTGCTTAAGCAAAATGCAAGGACCGGGGTTCGATTCCCAGCACCACATGCTGTGTGGTCCTGCCCCAGGGGCATGCTAAGATGGTGACTGAGACTGGCATGGTGGCCCAGGCCTGTAATCCCAGCACTTGGGAGGCTGAAAACAGGAGGATCACTACAAGTCTGATAGAAACAAAACAAAACAAAAAGCTCACTAGGCTTCTGAGACCCCCCACATGAACCCCTTCCTAGGGTAGATCCCCCCAGTGATGAATGTCCATATACTGAGCCTCAGCTCTTAGGGATTCCTCTGCCCCTCGGCACTGTCGTGCTGAGGTCCATGCTTCCAGCACCAGACACTTCCAAGGACACACTCAAAGCACACGTAAGTCAGGTGAGGAGACGTGACTCTAAAACAAAGTGAAGGAGATAAACAAAAGATGTCTCACACCTTGCAATCAATATCCTCAGGGTAAAAGATGCTGCCAAGAGCACTTCAGAGAGAACTGAAAATTGTACCTTATTACTTACTTCTCAGTGTGGCCAAGGCAAACATGACACCCGCACTCGCTTTCTGAATTTTAAGTCATAGATTTGTCTTTATGATAACTTTTGGCAATGTCTTCCCCCTTTCTCGGAATCACCTGATACGATCAATTGTTCAGTTCGAGTTATAAAATATTTCTTCAAGCTGTAACATACTTATTTATTGATTGATTTTGTGAGCTTGAGGCCTACACAAAGCGCAGGCTGGGAGCTTCTGGAGTGCCCCTCGCCCACTGGCCGCGAGCGCCTGAGCTCCACAGGCCATGTTCGTGAGTGGCAATGCCTCGACCTTGGGATTCCATCGCTAACGAGCTGCAGCAAGAGGGCCCCACTGTACTCGGCACAACAGTCGCAGCTAGCGCATCCTCTCACCCCGCTGTGGACACAGCCCCAAAACATGGACCGTCCTGCGCAGCAAGGAAGTCAGGCGGCACTGAGCTTGTAATGTATATTTTATTTTGCACAAGCTTGCATATATACTGCACATACATTCAGTTTAAGAGAAGATGGAAGGCACACAAGGCAATTGGACTACTATATCCTTTAAGTGGTACAAAGCAAAAGGTAGAAGTCTGGAGAGTGTACAAAAGCTTAAAACACACAAAGGAAAACCCCTCCCCCCTCCCCACACGATGTGTTTGTTTTCCTGTTTTAAAATTTAGTAGCTGCCAAACTCAATTTTTTAAACTTTTACTTTAAAATCAATTGTCTACTGCACCTTTTTATTTTCTTTTTAATATGGACAGGGAGTCTTACTGTTTTTCATATCAATTAATATTACAGTACATCCTTGGTAATACAAAATTGTACACCTTCATCAAATAAATTAGGATAAATTAAACCAATAAATTATGCAAAGTCTTCAGAACAATAGACAATAACAAAAATCCACAATTGAAATTGCCTCTAGCTAAAAAAAAATCAAAAATTGACTTTATCAGTTCAGTTATTGTACTATATTCAAATCAAAAGGTCTTTATTACAAAAGAAAGAGCTTCATAATGCTATTTACAACATATTGCTAAATAATATAAAGGCAGTGTTTTGTCACGGTTTATACTATATACATATGAAAAATGGCTGGGACAACGTTGGGGGACGTCGTGATCTTTGATTCCTCTAGGTAGCTCTGAGACCAACCCCAATTTCATTTTTCTAGTTCTAAATTTGAAGTGGTAATATACAACTTTAAAATGCTTCTTCATCTCTCTATGTGGAGGAATTGTGTGTTGAAAAAATACAGAATGAATCCATTTTCGCAAAGGAAGGCCAGCCTGCTCGCCGCATCTGCGCCTGCCTGTGCCTTTGAGAGCTCTCTGATTTGAGAGAGGGCTCAGTCGAAAAGACTCAAAGCCTGGTCACTTTCGCATTCTGTTATATTCTTAGAAGGACAATTATAAGAAGATACACAGGTTAAATACCAGTTTTGATCCCAGCTCTGAACATGAGCATTTGAACTTCAGCTTTTAGAGATGATTCACAACCAACAGATCTACAGAGAACAAACTGCATTTTCTCCAGCAGAACACTTAAGTGCAACAGGGCAACCGCTGACGCATACCAACCAGTCACGTGTTCTTAAGGGGAGCTTTTGGAAAACAATGCTTCTTGTAATTTGCAAACACAGAGTTTGTACCAGAAGGAAACATTTGTACTAGTGACACCAATGAATACTCTATAATATACATGGCAAAGAGGTTTTTGCACTCTCCTCGGATACACATTGCTTCTTTCAGGGAAGTCTGTAAACCACTTGTTCGCTGATGATTGCTTGGGGAGGCCATCCTGCCTTAAGGGCCCCCAAATCTTTACCTTTCTAACTCTATATTAACCTGTATGTGTGTGGGCATGGAGGTTACGTCCTAAACATCTTCATGTACATAGAAAAGAAATTTCATACATTTACAGAAACTGTATTACCCTTGCCCTTGACATCTGATAAAAGAGACTGTTATCTTTTAAAACTAGAGAGCAGGATTTTCAAGAATGCTTTCAACTGTCTACACAGTCAGTGTCGTGTTCCTAATAAATTCATGTTGAGAGAATGTAGTTATTTATTAAAAATCTCATGTCTTACGTAACAACAGCCATGAGGTTAAATATTTACATTGCTTTATAAAAGTTCCCCTCTTGCTTTAGTGTTTCCATTTTGCTTTTTTTGTTGTTGTTGTTGTGGTTTTAAATTTTTTAAATGATATTCACCCACATTCCCAGTACAGTAACAAAGGCTCTGCAAACGTAAAACACTTTAATTAAATAATACTCGGAGGCACAAAGCAAACTTTAGGAACCTGTGGGTGAACAGTTACTTAGATAGTCACTACATTCTAGCATCTTCCACATGTTTTACCTTTTAATGTGAAACATCTTCAGTAAACAGGCAGAGAGACAGGAAGAATGAAATGTTTTGTTGTTGCAAATAGAACATTCTTTTCACAAAACATAACAAATGTCTAAAATAGGTTCTTAACTCTAGATAGGAAAAGGCAAGATTTCCACTTCACACGCATATATATATTTTTACATGTGTGTATATGCGTGTATGTGTTTTCACGCTCACCACCTGCACGCACATACATAGCACATGGTATGAAATATTGCTTCTATACTACTTTTCATTAGGCTAAGAAAACACAAGATTTGCACCACAGTTACAAAAAATTGGCTTCTACAAGAATTTTCAAAACTCGGATGCTGCTCAAACAATTGAGGAAAAAATAATTTGCGGTATCAAACTGTTCTAAAAATTCTCTTCTTCAAAAACGTATTCTCCCGCTTTGTTTTAAAAAGACATAAAATATGCATAGCTATCAACATTATGTCAAACAGCCAGAAAAAAAATCTAGTGTTTATTGCAGCTGTAGTAATTGGAAATAAAGTCAAAAAAGATGAATTCGAAAGCCACAGAAGGCACAAGAACAATTGTACTTGTGGGAGAAAACTGGTATTTTGAAGGATTTTTAAAATCCCCCCGCTGGTGCATTTTAGGTCTAGGCACAGACAATAACCTCAAGTGTACACGCAAAAATAATTTAGAGTTAACAGAAAGTAAGTGGTAGTGTGGAATTTCAACATGGACTCTAGACTTTTTCCCCTTCTAGGTAAACTGCTCCTGATCCTTCACCCTCCCACCATGGAAGTCAACTTTCTCCTGTGGACCCAATTTTTATTCCATGAGAGTTGACCTGAATTTTGGAAGGTGGTGATTTTTTTTAAAAAAAACTGTGAAATAGGAGTTTGGAGGGACAGGCTTTTGTCATTTTCCAGTGCACTCAGAGGCACAAAGTTCTATGGTTGTAGAAGGGGGAGAAGTCACCTAAGTGCAAAAAGATGGTTCTACTTTCAGAACAGAAGTGTTTCTCCTCACGCTGCAATCTCTATTCTGCACTTGAAGAGGATCTCCAGGATCCTCTCAGTAGCTAAGTGCATTGACGTTGGGCTGTACACACTCACTTCTGCTTGATTTGCCTATTTAAATTACAAAAGCAGGGGAAAATCATTCTCAAAACCCAAATAAACATGGAATCACTGTCTCACAGATTAAGAAAATACCTTGCAGTCTGTCTATCCTGGTGAACCTGCTACGGCTTCTTTGCGTGTTACCTCCTTGCAAGGGATATGAATTACATGGAACAGCGACACTCCAGCTGTGTAGTGACACAAGTGATGAGCATCACAGGATTCCAAACAAGCAAGTGAAGAGTGTGACTCGCAGGTGAGATTCCCTTGTGCTTGCTGGAGTATATATCCATCTCACTCCAATGTACTGATAATCAGAACTTTTTTTAAAAGCAAGTCAGAAAACACATTGGCTGCCATGATTCTGTGCACAGGCGTGGGAGGGTACTGGGGATGGGCGTGGTCCCGGATGTAGGGCGGAGGGGTCAGCCTCCCAGCCCAGGTCACTGTAGGTTCTATCCACATTTCTAGGGCATTAGTGTCCTGGGTTAGCAGGGCACCAGAGGACTGCACCGTTTAATTTAAAGTCAGCAGGTTTTAAGGCTTTGTGCTGACAATAATTGTGTTCCCACATTCCTATCCATCAGCAGAATTTATAAAGGACGTTAAATGGCAAGGATTGGGTTGGCCCGTCAGTCACATGGGTCTACCTGCATTCTCCAAAGTCAGATGCATTTTTTAAATGTAAGTTAAGGGAAAAACAGCATTTGTACTCTGCATGTTTTAAATACCAGGTTTGTTACTGTGTCATTTTAAGAGCTGGGGACCAAAGGGGAAGGAAGAAATTGAAAAGCACTGTTAGCACGGACACTGGATTCTTACTGCTTCTGAACACAAACCCCATCTAGTAAAACAAGTATGAATGCTGCTTGATTTTTAAAATGCATACATGGGACACTACATCATTGAAAGGTTGGACAAAAGAAAAAAGAAAAAGAAGAGACCCACTGAAGAAAGCATGGTAGAGCAGCTAGCTCTCTTAGTTGTACAGAGACTGTGCCTTTTAGGTTAACCCCAACTTTCTTATGTTTCTTCCATTTTGGTCAATATTAGCTTCTACATTAAAAGAGATAGTATGGGTTACTTTAAGATGTTATAACTACTATGAATAAACACTTAGACTGTCGCCACTTTGAATATCCATCAGTGCAGTGTGGACTCGCACATGGAAACAGGTCAGCCAAAAGCTGCCAACGAACCTCTAGTGTTGGCGAGGACTGCAGGTCAGCTGGGGATTGCTTTATGTCTTACTGCAGAAAGTGGTGTTTTAGGAAAAAGATTAATTGAACAGAAATCATAATTCTCTTAGGCGTATACACAAAGTGCAGCAGAGCAGCACGTGCCTTTTTACTGTCTGAAGCAAAATAAATAGAAAGCGATAACAAAGTATGACATTTTTCTCCATGAAGACTGATCTAAAAGCTCACTTAGTATGAAGAAGAACCAACTCTGAGGTCTCGAGAGGCCGCTAGAGGAGCAGGCAATGGGTTTCAAGGCTCACGCTGGAAGAGTCCGTGTTGTCAAAAGTTGCTTTGCGTTCATTAGAAACTGGTACTGCTAGTTTGGGGAGTGTTTGCCCTTTCTTTTAGCAAAGCCTGGAGAGCAATTAGTTTTGCTTTCATTTGGCTTTTGGGGGTATTTTTCAAAGTGAGCTGCTCCTTTCTCATTGGCATTATTTAATGAAACAAGAAAAAGCTACTTATTGAGTTTGAACCAAGCAAAATACTTAAATGTATGAAGTGGTTACTTTGCATTTTTAGACCTTAACAGTAAGAAGAAGAGACAGGTCAGCATCTGTAGAGCTGCGCAGTGTCACGGCGTGGCCTCGGCCAACCACCACGTGCAGTATGCCACTAAACAAGCAGGGGCCTCTTCGCTAAATACCCTTCCTTGCAAGCACAGACTTTACACACTCCAGCATTCTTTTTCCCTGAAAACAAACCCTACGTTAAATCTCCAAATGTTAAGGGCCTTGGGCAAAAGTAAACTAAAGGAAGAAGGAAAATAACCATCCCCTTGTCATAGAAAACAAAAGGAAATGAGAGAAGGATGATGATGAGGAATTATCAGCTGATTTCATAACATATCCATGCCTCCCATACACACACACACACATGAAATCAAAATCTAGACACATACAGGAAGTCAGACACCCAAAGGGGACTGCTACTATCCATACATTCAAAAAGAGTTGTTGAAATTTCTACTCATGAAGCAGCTCTTGTAGGCAGTTCGGGGATTTGAAAATCTCGGGGACTTCACTATCCAGCTTGCAGATGACCTTGTATATGGCCTTCTTCCAGGAAGGGTCAACATCTTTGCCTGCGATAATGGCATTGAAAAACTCCCGTAATGTGATCTGCGCCACTTCCAGGAATCTCTCAGGAACCTGCTGATACAAGGAGACGAGGGCATTAATAAAGTTTTTAGTTTCAAGTTCACCGTTCTTCAAAGGAAACTGAGCTACACTCATTCTTTCAGAAAGGGGCTTACGTGGCACCTGTATGTCCTTCTAAAAATGGCCGGGCCTCTATTCTCTTAGGTAAAGTCATTATATATAGCAGCATTGTAATGTGGGGACAACAGCTTTGTCAGGTTGGGTAGAGAGACTTGTGCAAGAGACACAAGCAGACCTGGTGAAAAGCTAAGAATTCTTTGGGAACGTTAGTGGAGAGGAGGAGAAAGTGTCCAGCTAGTTTTCTAAGAATTTCATTTATCTCTCCTTTTAATTTCCACTATACAAAAAATACATTCTCCAAACTAATAATAAATATTGGGCTTCTATATAAGCTAAGCTTATATTTCCAATGACGAAATCTCTCTAAAATCTCAACGTTCCATTTGCATCAGATAGTTCTTAACTTAATATCCACTTGTATCATAATCTGCCTTATGAAGTACTCTGATGTAAAAAGGAGTACGACAATGACATGAACATGAAGCCATAAAATACAAGATGTAAACTGAATCGTAACATACGGCACCAGAACTACTTTCCCTTGAGATTCGACTGGACCCATACAAGATCAATATGTGCAGCTGACAATAATTATAAAAGTTAGCATTTATTGAGCGCTTATTATGTGCCACAGCACAGCGTGACTTGCTAACTGTATCATTCCACATTCTCAACTGTAGTATAAGCTTGTATTATCTCCCCTAAACGATGGGTAAGCTGAGGCTCCGCGAGCTCAAGGAAGCCGCACAAAGCCATCTTCCAAGATACATACTCTCCAAATGCTCTTTTCAGAATCCTTATTTGTTAAGTCTTTTCTTGCACAGCCGTTAGCCTATACATATTGTGTATATGTATGCATGTGTCTGTGTTCCCTTAATCGTTGCTTTAATAGCGTGAACTCTTGGCTAGGGAAAAGAGCAGCATTCCCTGCATGGATTTACCAGGCTTTTGTAAGTTACTCCTAGTAAAGCGTGGCATAACATTCCCTACACCAACAAAATGGACTCACAGAAAATGTTGCCATGAGCTCCTAACTTTCCAAGTACACTCTGAGGATACTCGGTAGGTTTCTTTAGTGGGGTATTTATGCCTTGGTAATATTTTATTCTTACCCTAAGTGCAGGCATGTGAGGACATAAATGCATTAGTTTTATATGTAAACTCATCTATCTATCTCCCTCTCTCTCTCTCTCTCTCTCTCT